AGGAAGCCTTGAGAGGAAGTCACATACATTCTTCCTAACCTCGGTGGAGTGCTCAATGTCTTTTTTTTTTTTTTTTTTTTTTTTTTTTTTTTTTGTTTTTTTTTTTTTTTTTTTTTTTTTTTTTTTTTGAGAAGGAGTTTCACTCTTGTTGCTCAGTCTGGAGTGCAATGGCACGATCTCGGCTCACCACAGCCCTGCCTTCCAGCTTCAAGCGATTCTCCTGCCTCAGCCTCCTGAGTTGCTGGGATTACAGGCATGCACCACCACACCCAGCTAATTTTGTATTTTTAGTGGAGATGGGGTTTCTCCATGTTGGTCAGGCCGGTCTCAAACTCATGACCTCAGGTGATCTGCCCATCTTGGCCTCCCAAAGTGCTGAGATTACAGGAGTGAACCATTGCACCTGGCTCAGTGTTATTTTTATACATGCCCGTTCATTCAATAAATATGTTTTCAATGCTTAGACTGTCCCCACCAATTAATGATTCTTTCTTCCCATTCCTAGTAGGTTCTATACATAATTCACCTCATCAACATAATTTATTTATTCAACAGTTCTTTTGAGCATCTACTCTGTACCAGGTACTGTGCAACACACTGGGGAGATGGAAGTATCCAGGACCAGAGCCGGGTCGTGCAGATCATGCACAGAGAAGGGCTCCCAGCCAAAGAAAAGAAAGGGATGAAATTCACTCACCAGTCCTTGAATCTGGCCCAAGGCACTGTTTGCCTATGATTTTTTTTTTTTTTTAAATTTCACAGAAGAGGAGCATGGCAAGCAGACAGCACTTTTGTGCAAATTATGAAAAGGTAACCCTTCTTCTGAGTTGCCTTCATCCAGAGACTGCCCTTTTTCTAACTCACACTTAGAGCTAAGGGAAATCTACTGCACCCCACTAAGGTCTGTGACCTCATGGAGATAGCATTCAGGAAGGTGGGTCAGATAGACAAATCTTAACACTAAAATGTGCCTGCAGCTGTAAGAGAGGTGTGCATTGGAGTATGTTGTTGGGGCACTAAGAAGAGAGGAACACTTTATGCCACCGAGATTTTGTTTCTGTAATTTCATGGAGGAGGGGCATCTAAATTATTCTGAAGCTTTCCTGATTCCCTTAATCCCTCAAACATGCTTTTGACCTTCATTCTTGGCGGCAGTCTCTGCCAGCTCCTTCATGGCAGTAAGCAGGGGCCGCAGATTCTAATTTTCTCCCCTCCAATGCCCCTCTGCATCCCCACCCACCTTCGCTCCTTCTCTGATTCTGTTGTTGATGGGCCCTGTCAGTTTCATTCTCTCTCACACATGTGGCACCATTCCTGGCATTGCACCCTAAACCGATAAAGCCATTCATATTTCCTGTATCCTGATACATCCCCCACACCCCTAATGATTTTCTATGAACCTATTATGGCATTTCTCTTCTTTCCTTCACTGTCAAACTTCTTCACGCTTTTTCCCAAGTTGTCTCATTTTTTCATCAGGCCCTAACAAAAATAATAGGTAACACTTTTCTCTCTGTCTGGTATTATTCTAAATGCTTACGTATTATATACGAACTCATTTAATATTCACAATAATATTGCCTGGTAGACACTATCATTAGCATCTTCATTTTTCAGTACAGGAAACTGAGCACAGGGTGGTTAAGTTATTAGCCCAAGATCACATAGCTGGCAGGTGGTTGATTGGCAAGAACTCTGGCTGTAGAGTCTGCACTCTTCATCGTTAGAACAGCTGTAGGCCGGGCATGTTGGCTCACGCCTGTAATCCAAGCACTTTGGAGGCCAAGGTGGGTGGATTACCTAAAGTCGGGAGTTCAAGACCAGCCTGACCAACATGGTGAAACCCCGTCTTAAAAAATAATAATAAAAACTTTTTTTAAAAATAAATTAATCTAATTCATTTAAAAGAACAGCTGTAGAAAACATACTTGGGAAACCTGCCCAACCCTATTCCTTTCTTGGAAATTGCTAACCTGCCCAAGCTGACAAGAGTAGAGTGGACATGTTCAGTGGTGAAGTGGGCTCAACCAATCAGATTCTCACTATGGAAAACAGGGAGTGGTTTTACTTGCTGACTGCCCGGTTCCAATCCCAATATATTCTGTTCTTGGATAACCATTAGACTGTCTGTAGTATCTCTAAAATAACCAGCTGTCTTCTTTTGAGTGGTTTCTGTCCCTGCTACCCAACAATGCCTGTTTAAGTCACATCCTTCCAACTCTCCTGAAGCTGATCTTTTAAAGGTTGCTGATCACCCCTTTTAATAATCTTTCTACAGCATTCCACACAGGTGACCACCTCCCACACAGGGGCCCTCTCCTCCGTTTCTGCCCCTGTACCTATACTAGGTACCCCACTGCCTGAGATTCCCTTCACTGCTGTCTTCACTAGGCCAGCTACCTCTCATTTTCTGTGACCTGGCTCAGGCATTGCCTTCCAGGAAAGCGTGCTTGGCCCCCTAAGTCTGGAAGTACCCCATCCCTCCATGCTCCCGTAGCCCCCTCTGTAAATGTATGCCATTACATGTCTTATGCAAAACAGACGTGGTTGGATATTACATACTCCTGTATGTAAAAGTAGCAAGCTACAGAATAGTATGGATAGTATGGTCCCTTTTATGCAAAACTATCTATGTGCATATAGAAGGATAAGTAGGTCATTCCACTCACCTGCCTAAATCCTCCAATGAATCTCCAATTGCACTTAATAAAACACAAAAGCCAGACCCAGCCTACAGAGCCCTAATCAGGCCCCATCTATCTCTCTGACTCCTCCTTTGTTTCTGCCTCACGCACTCCATCCACGTTGAACTGTTTTCCTGTTTCTTGAAAACACCTAGTTGGTTTCCACCTCGCAAACCCATTTATATCCCCAGATGTTTGGCAGACATTGCCTGTCATTGAAGATTCAGCTCCAGGTCCCGAAAATCCAGTCCACACAGTCCCACCCCTGTCATTCTCTTTCATGACATTCTGTTTTAATTTCTTTAGGAACTTACCACTATCTGAAAGCATTAATAGCTTTTCCATTTATTTAGTTTTTGTTTATCTATCACCTGAAGTTAGCCAAACTGCAGGGTCTAGGAAGCAATTCTTCAGGTTACTGAGTTTGCCCAATACTTGTGATACCAATTGCAAGTTGGAGGATTCCCGAAACCACTCTGAGATTCTATAACTTACTAGAAAGAGTCACAGAATTCACTGAAATTAATTATACTCATTGTCACGTTTATTACAGGGGAGGGATACAAGCTAGAACAGCCAAGGGAATCGACACACAGGGGGAGTATAGGTAGGGCCCACCCTGGAGCTTCTGGCCATTCCCTTCCCATGGAGTCATGGCTGATGTTGCTCCTAGCCATAGTATGTGATGTCACACGTGGAATACTGCTGCCCCAGGAAGCCCACCCCAGCTTTAGAGTCCAGGGTTTTCACTGGGGCTTCATTCTATGGGCATGATTGACTGAGTCATTGTCCACATGGCGAAACTCAAGCCACAGCTTTCCCACTCTACCCTCTCAGGAGTGAAGTTGATAGCATAAGGCCTGAGCAGCCCACCCTGAGCCCCCTGGTGAGCAAAAACTACCACGTGGGGTCTGGGGGGCCTGCCACAAATAACAAAAACATTCCTAAAACCGGGAAATGCCAAGATCTAGAGGCTACCTCCAAGGAGCCAAAACAAAGTCTAGACCTTTTTTTTGGGTGACACCAAATTCCTTACCACACATTTATGTATTGTCCTACTAAAACATAAACTTCTGGGGTACAGAAAATAGACTGTCTGTCTTAATCTCCTCTGTGACCCTAGCAATCAACTATGTGTATATATACACAATATATGTATACACACATACACACATACATGCATGCGTGCACACATACACATACATGCATACATACAGACACACACAAATACAGAGTTTTATTTTACCTTACCAATTTGAGGTAAATATCAAGTTACATTTCAATTTTTTAAATAAATTTTATTGTGTATATTTAAGGTATACAACATGTTATGAAACACATGTAAATGACTTTTTAAAATTAATATAGTGAAGCAAATTAATATATTCATCAGTTTACGTAGTTACCCATATGTGTGTGACAAGAGCAGCTAGAATCTACTCACCTGGCAAGAATCCCAAAAGCAGTACAATTTTGTTACCAGCCGTCCTCATGCTATCAATCAAATCTCTAGACTTGTTCATCCCAGATCTTCTACTTTGTGTCCTCTGACCTCCATCTCCCCATTTACTCTCCCCAATGCTCCAGTAACCACTGCTTTATTGTCTCTCTCCACATATAAATATGCAGATAGATATAATGAGATCATATAAACGAGATCATGCAATATTTTTGTTTCTGTATCTGGTTTATTTCATTTACTATGTCCTTCAGGCTCTTCCAGGTTGTAGCAAGTGGCAAAATCTTATTCCTTTTTAGGACTGAATAATATTCCATTGTGTGTATATACCACAGTTTTTTTTATTCATTCATTCACTGACAGATTCTTTGGTTGTTTCCATATCTATGGCTATTGTGAATAACGCTACAGTGAACATGAGTGTGCAGATATCTTTACAAGGTGGTGATTTCATCTCTTTTGGTTATATACCCAGAAGAGGGATTGCTAGGTCATATGGTCGTTCTATTTTAAATTTATTTATGAAACTCCATACTGTTTCCCGTCATGGCTGCACCAATCTACATTCCCACGATTAATGTATACGAGTCACTTTTCTCCACACTCTCATCAAATTTACTATTGTTTCACTTTTTGATAACCACTATCCTAACAGATGTGAGGTGATATCTTAGTGGTTTTGATTTGCATTTTCCTGAAAGTTAATGATGCTGACCACCTTTTTATATGCATGTTGGTCATTTTCACGTCTTCTTTGAAGAAATGTCTATCCAGGGTTTTTGCTTATTTTTAATCAGGTTATTTGTTTTTATACTATTAGGCTTTATGAGCTCTTTATAAATTGTAGATAAATTTATCTTCCTCCCTGCCTTACTTCCCCTTCGCGGCTTTGTCTTCTGTGGCCTTCTCTGGAGGCCTGCTGTCTTTTTGGTCTGTGCTGGGGGATTTTTCAGCCTTTTCCGCCTTCAGTTTTCTGGGCTCCTTTGAGAGGGTCTTGTCGTCCTCCTTGGCTTTGGCCTCTGTCTTGGGTTTTTCGTCAGGCTTCTTGGCCTCAGTGGCCTTCTCCTCCTTGCTGTCTTTTCTCTCCAGTGCTGCCGCAGCTGCCTCCTTCTCTGCTGGTTTGCTGGGTTCCTTGGCCTTGGCATCATCTGGTTCCTTCTTGGCCACCTCTGTCTTCTCTTTGGGTTTAGCGTCTTCCTTCACTGCCGCCTTGGCAGGAGCCTCCTTCTCTGGGGTGGCTGCCTTTTTCTTATCTTCAGCCTCTTCCTTTTTGGCTTCAACTTTGGATTCTTTGGGCTTTTCAATAGCAGGTTCCTTCTTCTCCACCTCAGGCTTTGCAGACTCCTTCTTGGGTGCCTCCTCTTTCTTGCTGCCCTTCTCCATTTTTGGTGTGGTGGGAGCTTTCTCTTCTTCTGCCTTCTTTGGGATCTCCTTCTCAGGGGCCTTGGCATCCTCCTTCAGGGGAGACTTTGCCTTCTCTGGGTGCTTGACCTCCTCCTTGACGGGGCTTTTGGCCTTTTCGGGGGATTTGTCTGCAGGGGACTTTGCTTCCTCCTTTGCTGCGGTCTTGGCTTCTGGAGACTTCACATCAAGAGTCTTGGCCTTCTCAGGGGACTTTGCTTCCTCCTTCACTGAGGACTTAGCCTTTTCAGGGGACTTAACCTCAGCTAGAGATTTTGCTTATTCCTTTGCTTGGGATTTGGCCTTCTCTGGAGACTTGGCCTCTACTGGTGACTTTGCCTCTTCTTTTGCTGAGGACTTGGACTTCTCGGGGGACTTGACCTCAGCTGGAGATTTTGCTTCCTCTTTCTCTGGGGACTTGGCCTCCACTGGTGACTGTGCCTCTTCCTTCGCTGGGGATGCGGCATCTTCTGCTGGGGGAGACTTTATTTCTTCTCGTTCTGCCTCCTCCTCTTCAGCCCCTTCTTCCTCCTTGTCCTCCTCCTCTTTGGCCTCTTTCTCCTCTTCTTCAGTCACTTGGGTCTCCTCCGTCTGTTCCTCCATAATCACAGTTTCTTTCTCAGACTTCTCTACCACCTTGATCTTCTCTTCACTTTTGACCTTTATGTGAGTGGACACGGAGGGAATTTTGGGGAGTCCTTCTGAAAGTGAGAAAGGAACTGGGCCAAAGCCAATCCGACACTCTTCACCTTCCAGGAGTTTTCTGTAAGTGGCTATCTCTATATCCAAAGCCATCTTGACATTGAGCAGGTCCTGGTAGTCTCACAGCTGGGCTGCCATCTCCCACTTGGTGTTCCTCAGCTCAGCGTCCAGCTGCTGAATGGCTTCCTGGTAGGAGGCAATGTCGGCCCTCCAGCTCGGAGCGCTGCCTCGACGGCAGTCCTTGGTGCTCTTCAGTGCCTCCAGCTCTGTAGTTCTGGCCTGCAGCTGACGCCGGTACTCAGTTATCTCCTCCTGCGCTGAGCGCATGGCGTCTGTATTCACCTTGGCTGCCTCTGACAGTCGGTCCAGCCTCACTCGGAACCACTCCTCGGACTGCAGCGTGCTCTGCACCGCGTGGCCTTCAAGCTGCGCGCGGATGTCGCGCAGCGCCGACGTCACGTCGCACTTGAGGGCGTCGCGTGCCTCGGCCTGTACCTGCGCCTGCGCGGCGCCACAGCCCTGGATCTGGCCGAGCAGCTCGCCCACCTCCTCCTGGTGGTGGCGCCGCAGGTAGCCGCCCTCCTCCTGCAGCGCCTGCGCCTTCTCCTTAAGTTCCACGCGAGCCACGTCTGCCTCCTGCGTGAAGCAGGATCAATACATGTTTTACAAATATTTTTTCCTAATCTGTAGGCTGCCATTTCGTCAATTGTGTCCTTAGCTGTGCAGAAGATGTTTAGTTTGATGTTGTTCCATTATTTTTGCTTTTGTGGCCTAAGCTTCTGGTGTAATAGCCAAAAAATCATTGCCACAGCCAATGTCCAGATTTTCCACGGTTTTCTTTCTCCTAGGAGTTTTATAGTTTCTGGTCTTTCAGGTAGGTCTTTTCCCCATTTTGAGCTGATTTTTGTGTATAAGGTAAGGGTTCTAATTCCATTCATTTGCATGTGTCAATCCAGTTTTCCAGCACTATTAATTAAAGAGACTATTTTCCCCGATGTGCTCTCTTGGTGCTGTTGTCAAAAATTAGTTGATGGTATTATACGTTTGGATTTGTTTCTGGGCTCTCTATTCTGCTCCACTGGTCTACGTGGTCTGTACCAATGTCATACTGTTTTGACTACCATGGCTTTGTAATATAATAAAAAATAAATGGCTTTAAGCTCTCACTTCCTTAGTCTTAGCAATTCATCCTTCTTCCCAGGTGACTCCCTTCAAAAGTCCCAAAGGTAGATTCTTATTGAGTGGTACTATTTTCTTGCCTAAGGAAGAGACAATGAAAGTGGACAGTTTGGTGATTGTCCCAAATGTCCAATCCTGCATCTATAGTTGCTGTCACCATCACTCAGTGCCTTTGCATCAGAAGGAGGTCTATGAATCCTTTCTCAGGGACTACACACTGCAGGAAGCACTCAGCAGCCAAATCCCTGCTCACCACAAGAAGCACAGAATTAACCCAGGATGACCGCTATTTTCATGCTGGCTGCAGTTTATCTGGGATGGACAGGAGGTGATAAGTCTTTCCCAGAGTTTGGCTCAGCTGCATGCACTTCATGCTAAGCAGACCTGGGCTCCAGTGTCAAAACTCTTTGGACACAATATTTTTAGTGTACACTCACATACAACCTTTCCCCAACATGTGATTCTAGTCCAGGGAACAGGGGTAGTGAGGGTTCCAGCCCTTCCCGAATGCCATCAGTGGGTCTGGCCAGGACACTGCTCTTCTTTCTTTCTCTGCCACCTGCGCTTCCATCAGTCTCTTAAACATGTGCTAATAACCTTGCACTTCAAGTGGAGGGAGTGTTGATCCCCTTTTTCTGAAAGGCTCTTTGACTTCTTTGTAAATTATTGGAGGCAAAAGGACACTGGAGGAGTTCACTGTTTAATTTCACCAACCCTAGTGTCTAAGCTTTAGGCTCTTTTGAAACCAAAACATATTCTGTTATGCTTTTCTCCTACAACAAAGGACAGGTGAACATTAGCGTTCCATCCGTTATCTAAGAGGAGATGTGCAAGTTGCTCTTCTCATAAAAAGAGGAACTACTCCTAGGTGGTTTGAAACAAAACCATTAGCCATTTTTAAATAACTGTAAGTGCCAAAATGTACATGCATGTATACACACAGAAAGGACTGTAAGAAAGAATGACAGCAAAAATATTAGCATAGGTTATTTCTGGGAGGTTGGATCCCAAATGAGGTGTGCTTTCTTATTTATACCTTCTCTGCCATTGGAAGATTTTACCATAAATTTTTGGCACTTTATAGTAAAACTGAAACATTTTGATATTAAAGAAAAAAGCTGCAAGCATCTACCAGGGTGGGCAGATGGTTGGATCATCGGAAGCTTCCATTCATGGCACTGTTACAGCCTTGCTTGGTTGAGACCCCCATTTTGCTTTGTTTATGCACTGATTTCTTTTTATCTCCATTTTCCACTTCCTTTTCTCCCCAACAGGAAGCTTCACTAACACATCTGACATATTATCTTTGTATATGGTTATACTCTTATAAAGTACGTAGTGCTGTTTTGTATGAATACATATTTTTATTTACATAAATGTTTTCACATATCTATTTCCCCTAACAGACTATAACTCCTCCTTCAGCCCCCTAAAAAGGATGAGAGCTTATTTATATTTGTAGTTCCATAACAAGTATGTAGCCTGGCACAGAGAGACGGCACAAGAAGTATTTGTTGGACGGAACTGAATTTGTTCACAGGTTAAGCATCCCATAATCCAAACATCTGAAATCTGAAATCCAAATGCTCCAAAATCCAAAACTTTTTGATCACCAACATGATGCTCAAAGAAAATACTCATGAGAGCATTTCAGATTTTGGATTTTTAAATTTGGTATGATCAACTGGTAAATATAAGGCAGATATTCTAAAGTCCAAAAAACCTCAAAATCTGCAACACTTCTGGTCCCAAGCATTTCAGATAGGGGATACTCAATCTGCATCACTTTTTCTTAAAATCTCACATTTTCTATGCTTCAGTGACACTTCATCCTCCTGGCTCCCTGTTGCCCCAGTCTTCACAGGCCCCTCCCCTTTCTTGTTCTTCACTATAAGTACTACCTGATACTTAGTCTCTCTTCTGCCTTCTCACTGTCTGACCCACCACAATCATTTCATCCAATGCTTTCCTGGTGCTTTCATTACCATTTTTAGCAAATGTGTTGCTATGGTTGAATGTTTGTCATCTCAAAACTCATGTTGAAATTTAAATACAGTACTTAAGAGGTGGGGCCTTTAAGAGGTGATAAGGCCATGAGGGATCTGTCCTCCTAAGTAGGATTCATGATGTTATCAAAAGGTGAATTTGGTCCCCTTTTGTCTCTTTACCCCCTTGCCATGTGAAGGTGAAGCCTTCTCCCCTCCAGTGGGCACAGTGTTCAAGGCACCATCTTGAAATCAGAGTCACCAATCCTGCCTGCACCTTGATATTAGACTTCCCAGTCCCTAGAACTGTGAGCTAATAATAAACGTCTGTTCCTTATAAATTACTCAGTCTGCAGTATCCTGTGATAGCCATGCAAAATAGACCAAGCCAGTGTTTTCCAAATCTTTATTTCTAGCCTTAACTTGTTTGCCAGGCTACAAGCCTACATCTCCATCTAAAGCTGAAAGTCCCATAGGCATTTCAAACTCATCATAAAACCAGCACCTTATCCACCTCCCCAACCCAAAGCTTGTACTTTCTCTTTTGTCTCTTCTCACTGAAATGTGTATTTGAATTCTTTGGGTTCTACACTCTCATCCTTAATGAAATTCCTCCCTTCTCCATCACTCTGCTTTACATACAGGATAACTCACCAGATTCTGTCATATCTACCTAATGTATAACACTGCTAATTCACAGCCAGGGGCTTTGCTTGGTGCTGAGAATATCGGGGTGAGCAAGAGAGATAAGTTTCTTATTCTCAGGAGACAGACAATAGACAACAGGTAAGTTTCTGTGTTTCAGAGTGTGAGCAATGCCATGAAGGAGGTAAGCAAGGTGATGTGAGATAGCTGGGAGCATGAGGATGAACAGAAAAGGCATCTCTTAGGACGAGAAGGGAGTCTCTTATAAAAAGACCCAGGCAAAGAGCAAATAATCCAGGTCCATGTGTAAGGAGGTACAAAGGCCATACAGAGAGAAAGAGCTTCCCATGTTCAAGGACCAGAAATGAGACCTTTGTGGATACAGCATATTGAGAAGATGGTGATCATAACTAGGTGAGGATGAAGTGGGGCAGAGATCACATTATGGAAAGCCTTGGAGGCCATTCAAAGCATTTGGATTTTATTCTAAGTATGATAGGAAATCAAAGGACAGCATTTAAGCAGGGGAAGGATCTGACCTGATTTATGCTTTTGTAAGTTCATTTTCACTGATGCATGAAGAATGAATTATGGGGAGGAAGGGGCAAGAGGCAGAGCAGAGAGACAAGTTCAAAGCTTTTGCACCGGGCCAGGTAAGAGATCGTGGCAGCTTAAACTACAGGATGGCAGTGATCATGGTGAGAAATGGGCCCATTTGAGATCTAGATTGGAAGTAAACCTGATAGAACTTGCTGATGGATGGGATATAGAGAAGAGAGAAAGGGAGGAATCAAGGATGACTCAGGAGGTCTGGTATAAGCAGCTAGGTGGATGATAATGCCGTTTCTTGAATTGGGGACATAGAGAAACAGAAGCAGCTGGCAGTTGGGTACAGAAGAGAATTAAGAGTTTTGTTTTAGACATACTAAATTTAAGATTACAATGAGACATGCTGGTGGAGATGTCAATTTCACAGTTGGATGTAAGATCCTGGACCTCCATGGAGAGGGCTCTGAGATGGGGATCCACCTGGAGGCATCACTGGAGAGATGGTATTTATGCCATGGGAGCACATCGAGGAAGAGAAGAGAGTAGATGAGACAGGAAGAGAAAGGAGGGAAAGGAAGAAAAGGGAGCCCATGACAAGGTCCTGTGGCACTTCAGTGTTTGTATGTCTTCCCCAAAAGCAGAAGCCAATAGAACTGTATGAGAAGCAGAAGACACTGATACAGAAAAAAATACAGGCAGCTATGATGTCATGAAAGTAAGCAAAAGAGTGTTTCACAGAGGTCAGTGCGGTCAAGTATGCCAAATATGATTGAAAGAACCAATATACGGCCAGAAAACTACCGATGATAGATTGAAGGGTAATTTTGGTAAAGTAATGTAATGAGCCAGATTGGAGCAAACTGAAGAGTAGTTTGTAGGTGAAGCGATAGAAGCAGTGTGTGCAGACTTCGGAAAGGTTGTATTACAGATGAGGCTCTAGATAGAGAGGGATGTAGCATTGGAGACTTTTGTGAAGGTGCGGAATGATAGAGTATATTTGTGTGTTGGTGAGAATGAACATTAAAGAGGGAAGGACTGATGATGGAGGAGAGAAAAGGAGTAATGAGGAAGAAACGTCCTTGAGAAAGGCAGAGTGGAGGAAACCAGTTTTCTTTCTTAATATAAACAGGAAGGAAGGGAAATATTTTTCCATACTAAGAGGAGGAAAGGAGAAAATGGGTACTCTGGGTACACACAGGTTTCTGTGTAGGCCAGGTGGTTGGGAGAAAAGGGAGTTCTCCATTCATTCCCATTTCTCAGTGAAGAGTGATAGGAGATCAGCTGTGATGGGGAGTGAAAGAGGGACAGCTGTGGGAAGAGGGCGCTGAGGAGCAAGTGCAAAGCCTCTCCTCACGATGTCTCACACTCTGCTCCAGTGCAGCAGCCCTAGGTCAGGCCCTGACTGTCTCCATCTGTACTACCACAATGGCCCCCCAAACCTCTCATGCCCAGCCATCAACCCCCAGCACCTTGATCTCTTATCTACCCATCCTTTGGAGAAATATCCCTAAACCACTGATATGATTTGCATCTGTGTCCCCACCCAAATCTCATGTCAAATTGTAATTAATCCTCAATGTTGGAGGAGGAGCCTTTTGAGAGGTGATTGGATCATGAAGGTGGACTTCCCTCTTGTTTTTGTGGTAGATTTCTCCTGAGATCTGGTTGTTTAAAAGTGTATAGCACCTCTCCCCTGAACCCCCTACCCTGCTTTCTATTTCCTGCCGGCCCTGTGAAGATGTGCCTGCTTCCCCTTTGCCTTCTTCCATGACTGTAAGTTTCCTGAGGTCTCCCCAGAAGCAGAAGCTTGTGTAGCCTGCAGAACTGTGAGCCAATTAAACTTCTTTTCATTATAAATTATCCAGTCTCAGATATGTCTTTATAGCAACGTGAGAATAAACTAATACAACCACAGATTTGTTGTGCTGTGGAAACCTTTGATGGACTTCACAGCCTAAAGACCAATGCACTAACTCCTCATTTGGTCTCTAGGGTTCTCCATTTTCTGGTCCAACTTTTTCAGGCTTACGCCCAAAACATCCTCTTCCCCTCTACCTTCTATGGAGCGACTGCAGCCTACTCATGGATCTTTCCAACTGCTCTGGCATCTGTCACTTTTATGTCTTTGTTCAAACTTTTCTCACTGCCTGGCTTGCCTTCCTCCCTCTTGCAAAGTCCCACCCATTCTTCAAGATCCAGCTCAAATCCCATTTATTTCAAGAAACTGATCAGATCCATTAAAATCAATTTCTTCCCTCCCACCTTCCCATAGTGCCTTATCTCTTTAGAACTTATGAAAGATCCAAGTATGACTTGTATTATAAGCACAAGCATAGGCATGTCTATTTGTCTATATGTGTGTTTGTGTCTGCCTCTAAGGAAGGAAAAAAGGAAGGAAGGGTAGGAGGGATGAAGGGGAGAGGCAGATGGAGAGAAGAGGAAGGAAAAGTGGAGGTGCATCATGGGACCCTGGTGGTTCAGCTCAATGGCTTGAGTAAAGGGGCTCAACAGTGTTGCCCAAGACTGGCTTCTCCTGGGCGCACATGCAGGTATCTGAGCTGGCAGGCCTCTTCCTGTCCCCTCTGTTACGGCTACCCCTTTCTTTCCCTATGCCTCCATCTTAGTTGCCCAGTAATTGCATCAAATCTGAAGAAGCAGATCCATCTCTAAAAAGAGCAGTGGGAGGGAATTGTGCTGCTCTTTTCAGAGATGAGAATTGAGAGAAATAGGGCAGAGAGATGAAAATGTAATGTTGAAAAATTCATGCTAGAGGAAGCACGTGCTGGCCCTCCCCTGCTCTCCCTCCCATCTGATAAGCTTCTGGTAGAGGCCTGGCTTTCCAGGCACATAAGAAGACCACAGGCGGCTCGGCCAAGTCTGTCTGAGGGTGACCTGAGAGCTGGCAGGGGTCTGGGGAGTGTCCACGGGTGTGCAGGGACAGACCTGGCACTTTGCTTCCAGGGGCCTAGGTTATTGAGGGGTAGGGGGGCAGTAAGAGGGCAGGGGTGGGAGAGGAGGTGTCCTCCCCATCTACAGCAAGAGCTGCCCCTCTACGCCACCTCCCGTCACTCCTGATGAAGTCAGGCCTTGGCAGACACTGCTGTCCACAGAGTCGCAGGTCCTGTGTGTTTAGGAATCCTGGGAGGCAGGGCTTGACCTGGGCCAAGCGAGCGGCTGGCCTCGCTACACTTCGTTGAGCACTGTGTGCTCTGAGCCTAGGGAGGGAGAGTTGAGGAAGCCTGACTCTAGTGGCCCGAAAGGCCCGGTCTCATTCCCAGCCCTAGTCTCTGACTCCCCTTGGAAAGCACTGCAGAGGCTGCGGCCTGATTAACGCTGCGCGCTGGTGTGCACAGGAGACCTGCTTGCGATTCCCGGCCAGGGCCCCTGCTCTCCTGCGCAGCGGCGGCGCCGGCTGCTCGACCGCGACCCCTGGCGGCAGCTGGAGGCACTCGCTGCAGAGCTTCAAAAGCGAACGGGCTGGACGGGAAGTCGAGGGAGTATTTAAAAAAAAAAAAAAACGGGGTAAGAGCTATGCACCCCCAGATGGTGCAGGGTGGGAGGTGGAGAATGAAGGGGAAGCCAATTTTGCTTTCTTATAATATAAACAGGAAGGAAGGGAACAATCTGTTGGGGAGGGTGGGGGCTGATGGAGGGTAATGGGAGGGGGAAGGTGGAAATTTCAAAATCTGTTTATAGTTGGAACTGAATATGTTTAATATGATGCTAACACAAAATAAGACTTAGAAGTTTTTCTCTGCTCTGAACCCTGTTTCCCTCATCTTCATTTTAAGTAGCAGAAGACCCTGACCTGTTTCTTCTCTTTCATACTCCCAAACCAGGCTGTGTTTTCAAAGAGGCATTCATTCGAAGACATAAAACATGCTTTGGCTTCCTCCAGTGCCTTCAGTGAGCCTGAGTCCCAAGAGTCAATATAATGCCAGAGGTGAGAGCCTGGACATTGGAGAGGGACAGTGTAAATTGAATACATGTCTATACATTAGCTGTGTGACCTTGAGCAATTTGCTCAGCCTCTCTGAACCTTCTTTTCCTTGTTCAAAAAACAAAATGTAAACAAAATGCACTTCTAAGATAGTGATGATAAAGAGAATCCTGCCTCATCTCTACCACCAGGACAAAGAAGCTGTCTGTGGTGGTTCTGTGTTCCCTTCCCTGGCAGGACGACAGACTCAGTTCAATAATAGATCAAGTGCCCATGAGCAGAAAGGGGATGAGTCCCCTGGGACTTTCCCTGACTCCTTCCCTTTCTCTCCCATCAGTTCACACAGTCCTCTAGCCCATGTCTGCCATGCAACCCAACCAGGCAGCACCCACAAAATATTACCTGTAGTGTAGGTGTGTTTAGTGTGCAGGGGGCTTCTTGGCACAGAGCTGATCTTAGCTGAGGGTGGAGTATGACTTGAGTCTACAGATCAATGTTCTCCTTGGTGTCAGCACTGCACGTATGCAATGCTTCGATATGTGGCCCGCTAATAAGTCATGATTCTAGATAGCATGGGTAAAGAAAGGACCAGCTGAGAGGCTCGCAGAGCACTACCGGAGGTCAGAGGATAGGAAAACTCCCTTAAACCAAAGTTGAGAGCTCACCTGAGCCCCAAGAGCTACAGAAAGTGGTCCTGGTGCTATGCTGAATTAGGCGAGCTCTTCCTTCTAATTCAGGATGCAGCACCAGAAGGGCATATCACAAAGTGTACCATCCACGAGGGGAAAGGAGAACATATTCAACACATCTGAATCCTCAAAGGCAATAGGCTCTTGAAGATGCCAGGTCATCTTTAGTCCAGCATCCTGGGGCTTATGGCAGGGCATGACTCTCATTCAAAGACGTCACCACTGAACCTGTGACTACTCAGTGACCATCTTCTGGAGGACAAAACTGATTTGCAATTAAGTTCCTAGGGATGAACAAGAGGAGAGAAGACAGGGACCTGGTTATTCATGATTTTTTTTGTTTGTTTTTTGAGACTGAGTCTCGCTCTGTCGCCCAGGCTGGAGTGCAGTGGTGCAGTCTCTGCAACCTCCACTTCCCCGGTTCAAGCGATTCTCCTGCCTCAGCCTCCCGAGTATCTGGGATTACAGGCATGAGCCATCACACCCGGCTAACTTTGTATTTTTGGTAGAGATGGGGTTTCTCCATGTTGGCCAGGCTGGTCTCGAACTCCCAACCTCAGGTGATCCACCCACCTCGGCCTCCCAAAGTGCTGGGTTTACAGGCCTAAGCCACCGCACCTGGCCACAATTTTTTTAACCCATTTATTCATCAATTTACTCACATAATTATCTATCCTCAGTCTTTCATTCACTCCCTAGATATTTTACGTAGCAATTGTTACGTGCTCAGCCCTGTGTCCTGTGCTATGAGAAGTACAATTGTGTACCTCTTTTCCTTCCACCCTAAGGAAGATTCTATAGTCCTCTATTCAGTGTTGAAGATTCTCCTCTTCTGTCCCACCCCATCTGGGGGAGCAGATGTCCTATGACATTCACACGGCTCATTCTGCTGCAGAAGCAGGGCCCTAACAGCGCTGATCTCACTGCTCTCATCAGCAAACCCTCTCATACTGAACCTAACTGTTTAGACATGATAGATCCATCCACCCACTTCCCAAAGGGACAAAGAAGAATAGGACTCAATGTTCTGGCCCCTTAGAATCAAATACAAATATGTCAAGCTTTGCCTCATGTGTGCCTCTGATGACTGACCTGTGAGCTGGTTCCAGTCTCCGCCTCGCGTGGGCCCCCTCCCTGGGTGTTCACCTCGAATCGTTCCAGTCGCCTTTATTCCTTGCCTGCTGCCTCTCACTCCCACCCCCTGCCTTTGTGGGATTTGTGACAATCTATGCTCTTTAAAATATTTTCTGGAGTGTATTTGTGTGTCTTTAGTGGTGGTGGAATGCTGTATAATTATCTCCCGATTCATCAGGCTCCTTAACAGGCAAATGCCTCCTTTTTCCAATAAGTTTCTCTGGCTGAGGCACCAATAGGCCTTGTTGCTACGGAAACCAGAACGTTCCTTTCCCTATTTTAATGGTATGTTGCAAGCGCGGCGTGTATGTGCATGCACACGTATGGTGGCTGCTCGTTTTTTTCAGCTCTTTTTTCCTTCCCTACCTCTGCCGACCTGTCAGGCATTTTCCCGACCTCACAGGTTTCAGGACGTCCCCCTCATCCACAGCCCCTGCTTGCCCCCTTCCTGCCTTTCACTGTGCCTCCACCTCCCCCTACCCTTCCATCTGGTGTTCTCAGCTGTTTAAAAAAAAAAAAATACCAGTTGGCTTTGCATGAAATCTAAGAGAGAGAGAGGGAAATAAAAGGTAATTGTGGAAACAAAGCACTGCAAAAGGCTTTGACCAGACAGGTGTTTCCTGCTGGAAGGCTGGTGGCCTCACTTGGCCATCTTCCTAGCACATGGGGCTGCTTGAGAGAAGGAAGAGAAGGGATGGAGAGAGAGCAGCTCGGAGCAAGAGTGAAGAGAGAGCATACCCCTCAGCACCATCTGCTGCTGCTGCTCCTGGGCACGGAGGAACTTATCTCCACCCAAGTCCCTGGGTTTGGTTCAAGGACTATTGGAGGAGGGGAGGGCTCTGTTGAAATGTATTTGTTTAGTCAACAAACATTTACTGAACACTTAACATATGCCAGGCACTGTTCTAGGCACTAGGGGTATACTGAGGGTTCCAGTCCTCTGGGGGATATGCTGAGGGTTCCTACCCTCTGGGGGATATGCTGAGGGTTCCTGTCCTCTGGGGGATATGCTGAGGGTTCCTGTCCTCTGGGGAATATGCTGAGGGTTCCTGTCCAAGCCTTGCTCACAGGCAGTTGCCAAGGCAGCATGGTAAGTGGTGAGAGGCACAGTGACATTTGGGGTCTGGAATGAGACAAGCCTAAGCTTGAACCCCAGGCCACCATTTTTTAGCCGTGACCTTGGGTACATGACTAAATCTCCAGAAAGCTTAGTTTCCTTATCCCTAAAAGTAATGTTATAATAAAGTCGTTTCCGAAGATCAAATAAAATAATGAGTTTTTATTAGCATTATCAATACATGTCAGTTGCCATTGTCTTTTTCATTATTATTACCATTGTTAGGGTCTTAAGGGGCTCATGATAACATGCAATGTACCCACAGACACAGGCAAGGCATCCCCAAGAAGGGTTTGACCAGACATTTTCCAAGTGGGAAAAGTGTGAAAAGCATTCTAGTCAGAGGGCACAGCATGTGCGAAGGCCTGCAGTGTAGACAAGGGAGTGTGTCTGCAGCTGCAGTGTCCGGTGTGCCTGTCTGGGAGTGGAGGTGTGGTGGACTCCAGCTGGGCTGTGACGACACTGACGGCTGAAACTGACCCTCCAGTTATGGGAGTACACAGGAGGCTTTTAGGTTTAAGAAAAGCACAGGCAGACACACTCTTTAGAGAGAAGAGTTTTTCCTTGTGATATACAAAATGCCAAAATTAAGGGGCTCCTGAGCCTCCACTGACTTTAAGAATCAGTGATGCCGGGGATGCTGGCCAGCTGCAGGTAGCGAGTGATCTCTTCCTCCGCTTCGCCCCATCCTCCCAGGGCATTTCAGGCCACGTGCAGCTAGGCAAAAGGATATCAGATTCAGGGCACTCTGGCTGTGTCTACCTAAACTAGGCACTAAGGCAACGCTGGAGGTACAAGACCCCGAAGTCTCTTCCAGCTCTTGATAGCATGACTATAATTTGAGGGGTTTAAAGGAGTGGTTGGTTGGCACTGATGGTGGAGTGGTTGGCAAGGAAAGAAAATTGTGTGTGCAGAGTGGTGTGACAGCTGGAGGGACAGCAGAGATGCTGGAGCGGACCTGTGAGGTAGAGACCAGGCATGCTGGGAGGGAAGAGGAGAGGGGTGAGCGACCGCGCAGAGGCTCTGGGGCTCGCAGGCTAATTCTGTTGTGCTTGGAGGTTGGGGAAAAATCAGCAAGTCAAGAGTTTGACTGGGTGCTCTGGGTTTGGCCTTATTAAAAAGGAAACGGCAGAACAGTGAGAGCTGCTTCGGCTCATGCGGCACGTTCACCCTCCGCTCTCAACACTGAGCTAGCATTCTTGAACGTTACAATCTAAAAGTATTCCAAACGTTTATTTACCTAGTGTTGTTTAAAGTAAGACAACGGTACCTCTAAAAACAAGTTGAAAGGAAATCAGAGCTGACCAAAGGTAACAAGGCAGTGAGTCAAACACGTGCCTGCAGCTTCCCATCTCCTGTTCACAGCCACGTGCCTATAGCAGGGTCAGTGCAGGCTACAGTGAGCACTTATACGTTGGCATGTTCCTTTTCTCTTAAGAATTCACAGGGAAGGAGATTCCCCCACCCCCAACTGATTGATTTGTATTCTGCATTTTTCAAAACGATTAGAATGGATTACTTTCATAATTAGAAAAAAAAAACACATTTAAACACATTGTTTAATAAATTTGATGAAGCTTTAAAATATATATATATATATATATATATATATATATATATATATGTAAAACATTTTTTAAGTAAGAAAATGTTAGAGGAGAATGGGAAGAAACATAAGCCCTACTGTGGGCAAGGCAATCTCTTCATTTCTGTCATCCTGCCTGGACCTCACAACACCCACGTGAAATAAAGATTCTTATGCCCTTTTACACACAGGGAAATTGAAGTTAAGGTCAGTTGAGAAATTTGCCAAAGGTCAGATATCTAATCCGTGGTGGGGCCCGTAGTCACGTTCGTGTGCATCTGACTTCAAAGCCGCAGAGCTGCCATTTACACTAACGAACAGAAGGAGAGGACCGTTCTTTGAGAAGTAATAGTGTTGCCCTTTGACACAGATTCACTTAACACTTTTATCTCTGGGTCCTCCCCTCCAGAACCTGGCGGGTTACCCAGTCGCTTTACCTTGTCCCCTCATGCTCCAAATTTTCCTAGGCTCCAAAAGTACTTCTCTCTCTCTTCCCTCCTCGTCTGAATTCCAGTTCTGTCTACTTACAGCTCTGAATCCCAGTGGTTAAAAAGTAAGCAAACTCATTTAATTGTCACAAGAGTGGGAGGATCTGTCGGCTGTATTTTCATTCTCCCAGACGTGTTTGCTTCATCAAAACTGATAGAACCAAATGACTGTGATTGATGAAGCCAAAGACAGGGAGACAAAACAAAACAATTAAATTTCAGGTAGGGGAAAGGGAGAGGGTTTTGGATCCAGTGAGGGTTTTAAAACAGCTTTATTGAGGTATAATTGACACACAATAAACCACTATATTTAAAATGTGCAATATGATAGGTTTTGGCGTGTGTAGACATCCACGAACCATCACTGCACTCAAGATGATAATACACTTACCTGTCATCCCCAAAATGTAACTCTTGTGGGGCAAGTAAGTTTTTGAAATCCCTTAAATTAGCTGGGTGTGGTGGCACGCGCCTGTAGTCCCAGCTACTGGGGAGGCTGAGGCAGGAGAATTGCTTGAACCCGGGAGGCCGAGGTTGCAGTGAGCCGAGGTCATGCCGCTGCACTCCAGCCTGGAGCCTGGTGACGGAGTGAGACCCTGTCTCAAAAAAAAAAAAAAAAAAAAAAAAAGAAATCCCTTAAATTCGGCTAGTTGTGAGCAATGTGACTTTGTGGATAAGGGTGGCTCCCATAAACATTGTGGGGCCCAATGACATTTTTGTTTACTAAATGCAGCACTAAAACCAAGTGATTTTTGAAACTTGTTCATAATGCTGAAAATAATTCTGGGGGAAAAAAAAAATACCAGGCTGCAGACCTATTTGCAAACAAAAATCATGTGAGGATGTTAATCTCCAGAAAATCTGATAGCATATTCTACGCAAGTCCTGATCAGGAAGATATGTTTGCAATTAACATGGGGAAAATATACATTGGAAAATTCCAGCAGAAGTGAGTCCTCCGTCCAGGCCCATGAACCACAGCAGCAGATGTCACAGCTCACACCCAACGGGGCCAGAAGGGCAAAGCCAAGGAGACTTGTCATTTCGGACAACTGCAAAGAGACAAAATGTGGGATTGGATCGGGCAAAGTTAAGTTACAGATTGCTAGGTCCTTCTTTATTTTGGTATCCTTAATGCCTATATTTCCTAGTACGCAGGCCTGGAAGATACGGGGCTATCTATCTGAAGTGAAACACTCTCAGGTTTCTCATACAAATGGGAGTTCTTAATGCAGCTACTCGTGGAAACTCCACCACTCTAGAGGTGAGCAGACAAGAGGCTGCATAGGAGAAAAGCTCTCACGAGGATCTCCTGGTGTTCTGAAGACTCCATGCGTGGATTGCCCACTACATGCTAGGCAGTGTGTGAGGTTACGCTTTGTTGGCAGAGACAGCTGAGCACAGGCAGGAGGTAGAGGCTATGAAGGAGAAGAATGCACAGCACAGCAGCATCCAAGCGGAGCACCTGACCTAGGCTGTGGAGTCCAGCAGGCTCTGCAGGGGCCATGACCGCCAACCCACCACACAGATTCATGAGATAGTGCGATTTCCGGCTTGGTTGTTATATATTTTGTACAACACCAAGCTCAATCCACTTAGCTTCCTCATCCTTAATAACGGCCCACTTCAGAAACTAATAACTAATCTCAGAAAAATCAGTCTTATCCTGGAGTGACATGCAACCTTAAATATATGCCTACGGAATAACACATGGGGCACGAGCGTGCGAGCCACCCCCGAGCCTAAAGATTAATGGAGAGTAAGGGTTTCTCGGTAAAATATTTCTGCGTCAAGTGCTTGTTTTTATCGTGGCACTGATAAAGTCTCTCTTAACATACATTCAGAGAATGCTTTGTGGAGAAGAGATAGAGAGAACAGGGTAAAGAAAAAAGAGAAAAAGACAGAGATATTAGGATGAGAATCAGAGAGAGAGAGAATACAGAATTAAAATGGTGAGTAGAATACAGAGGAGGAGGAGAGCTGGAGAGAGGAAAGGGCAGATTGGAGGGTGAGGGTAAGACAGAGAGACCAGAAAAGGCCGAAAACGGGAGAGTGAAAAGGGCGAAAGAGAAGGAAAGAAACAAAAAACATAAAATGGAGGGATCTATTTCATGAATACACTTTAGGAGGGAAAACAAGACAAAGAACAAAAGACTTGGGGGTGTGAGTGAGCAAAGGATGGAGAAACCAGCACCCAAGGGAGCCATCTACTGCCTCCAGGGAGAAGCGTAAAGCAGGGGAAAAGGAGGACTTGCGGATGCCGGGTCACACCGGTGCAGCGCGGACCAGTGCCCACTCTCACATTTGAAATTCTCGGCAACTCAGACACAGCCACTTGTGTCACAAGAGCCTCAGTGAAGATGCTCCTGAAGACATCTCTCTCTGTCCTTCACCAATTCCCAGCATGTCTTTTAGTATTTAAGACCAGATGGCCAAAAAAGAACAGGGGCTCTGGGCAGGCGTCAGCGGCTGGCCCCCTGACACTGCAGTGAAATCTCTACCCCAGCAGCTTTCATCCCATAAGGCCCTTCCAATATCTGAAACAAGTACCTAATGAAGACCTTTCAAGTGTCCCCATGGTAGAAGGACTAACTGCCTTTGTCATCAGATATCCTCCAGGCACTCAAATCTTGAGATAGCAAATGTTCCTTTTTAAGAATGTTTAGCTTTTTTCATTTACTATTTCCTTGGCTTATTTTCTTTTCAGCGGAAGGCATGAAAGGTATTCCCTGAATGATGAGGTTTATCCAAGAATGCTTGTGCTGATGTGGACATCCTGCTCCCCACAGTGGAGAATTCGTATCCCTAAATCATCAGTTCAGACACAAGGCTAATAGCAAGAGGAGAGCCATACGGCAGTGTTTGAACAGGGAGCTAAAATGACCACGGCCATTAAATGGAGGACACTAACAGAACTAACCAAATTTACCAGCTATCATGATGTCATTGTTGATCAAATCCAAGGGAACTCAAGAGAAAACTCGAGGCCTTTGATCCTCCTCATTCAGCCTCCAGGGAGGATGGTAAACATCAAAGATAATATTAAGTCCTCATGGTCACATTAGGTAGGTCATCATTTCGGGAGATGGAACTCTCAGTGGACAGAGAAGAGGAGGGGTCATTTCTGCTATTCACCCAGTTTATTCCTTTGGTTTCATCTCTTCCTAAGAGTGATTAAGACAATACCTGAGGCTGCCTTCCCTCTAGGACTGTCTACCCTTTGAAAGACCAGATGAGATCCAAGGCAACTCAGAGGAAAGGGGGAAGCTTAGTTGATTAAGAATCAGAGCAGTGGCTGGGGTAGTTAGGGAGATAAGATGGCTTAGCCAGCTAATGGCCACCATAGGCCCTCACCCAGATACTGCTGCTCTTAATGGTACCTCAGTGGTCTCTGGGGAGATATTTCATCTGGTCGGATGATAATAACTCACGGGGTTATGGAAAAACAGACTCCACCTGTTGGGTTGACTTCTTTTGTCTTGGCCCTGTTTGCTAAGCAGAGTCCATAAGAGGTCAGGACCAAGCAGATCAGGTTGGAGAACTCCAAGTTCCCTTCACGCTAAGAAGCTATGACTGGGCAGGAGGAGACTTAACCTCTTCCATAGGTCCCAAGGAACCTATAAGTATCAAGTCAACAGAGGAGCAAAGAGTTGGGGTTTTTGGTTGTCGTTTGTTTGTTTGTTTTTGAGAGACAGAGTCTCTCTGTTGCCCAGGTTGGAGCACCAGGGTGCAGTCATGGCTCACTGCAGCCTCAAACTCTCTTGGGCTCAGTGAGCCTCCCATCTCAGCCTTCTGAGTAGCTGGGACTACCCAGGCATGAGCCGTCAAGCCTGGCGGAGCAAAGAGTATTAACTCCAACACACAAATTGAAGCCTAAATTCTATTATAACCTTCATGACAAAAATTTATTTTTTAATTAATAGTCCGTCGAGTGTCTTCTAGATATTTCCTCAAATTAATAGTCTATTGAGTGTCTGCGAGATACTTTATGGACATTATATCATTTAGTATTTACTAGAATTCTACAAGATAGGTAGTATTATCCTCCACTGACAGGTGAGAAAACTAAAGCTGGGAATTTGAATAGCCTGTCCCAGTTCTTATAGCTAGCAAGGTTGAGCTGGGTCTGTCTGATTCTAGCCTATGACTGCCACACAGCCTCTCTTGAAGAAGATCCACATAGCGTGACTGAGCCTGTCACCTAAGTCCCACAGCATCTCCCACACCACCCCGTACAGCTGCACACACTTCTGAGGCTCACTGGGGGAGTTTTTCCCAGTCTGGTGTGTACCGCCTGGAAAAATCAGACAGGATTGGGAGTAATTGTGACATGACATGGTCTGGAATGAGGGGCAGATGGAGCTTGAGTGCTTGGAAACCCTTTGGGTTCCGATTTCAGGAGAAGGTGACAAGGCCATCTGAATGATTTCCAGTGTGCTTTGGCAGAGAAGACAAGGAGGCAGGGTGACAGCCATGGCTGATGTGGTTGGCAACAGCTGAAGCTGAAAATCACCCCCTGCCTACAGTCGTAAGTTACCATTCTCGACACAATGGGCCCTGAGGCCTGGAATCAAGAGGCGTTATAAGGAAGGGATGGAAAGACATGGTCACAGGGACCATCTCTGTGGAAAAGAATCCTAACCGTGACCAACACAGGCCCACCAACATTCCAGACCTTTCAGAAGTGGTTTGACTGGAGGCAAACCGAGAGAGAGATTGAACAGGGAGGGCTTCAGAAGGCCTGGCTCCTGGTTCCAATTCTACCCCTAACTAGATGTGTGACCCTAGGGAAATCATCTCACTCTCTCACAGCCTTGAGCAAGGGAGTTTAGTCTCTTGTAATTCTGAAATATCCTGATTCTAATCTGAGTTGTTAAATACTCTGTCTCAAGATATCCTCTCTGTAGAAATAAAAAGCAAAGATACTTCTCGTAAGAAATAGAATACAGAAAGTACAGCTCAAAGACAGGCACAGATTGGTGTCTAGCTTGCCATCTCAAGGGCATTTGGTTTGCATTTGTGTCCCCACTCAAATCTCATGTCGAATTGTAATCCCCAGTGTTGGAGGAGGGTTATGGTGGGAGCTGATTGGATCACGGGGGCAGATCACCTTCTTGCTGTTCTCATGACAGTGAGTGAGTTCTCATGAGGCCTGGTTGTTTAAACGTGTGCAGCACCTCCCCCGCTCTCTCATCCTCCTTCTCCAGGCTTGTAAGATGTATCTGCTTCCCCTTCGCCGTCTGCAATGGTTGTAAGTTTCCTGAGGCCTCCCCAGCCATGCTTCTTGGGCAGGCTGCAGAACTGTGAGTCAATTAAACCTCTCTTCTTTATAAATGACCCAGTCGCAGGTACTTCTTTATAGCAGTGTGAGATCGGCCTCACACAGGCATAAAGAAATGGGTAATGGGTCACTTTTTTCCTTCTCCTGCACATCAGCCAAGATGCCTTTAGCTGCAAGTAAGAAGACACCCTGATTCAACTGGCTTAACAATATGGAAAAGCACATCATAAGAAGTGGAACTGATGGCCCTAGTACCACCCGACCTGCCCTAGACTGCCAACCTCCATACTTTCATGTGAGAGAATAAGCTCATGTATGCTTAAGCCTTTATTCATTTGGCCTGTTCCTTACCACTAGTGCAATTCCAAACTGATGCTGCAACCAGCAGTGAATCCTACACCCCAGGAGCTAAATTCCTTAGGTTAGTTAACTTTACTCTCTCGTTTGGGAAATGCATGAAGACAGGATCAGGCAGTGAGAATTTTTAGCATCAAATCGATCTGAGTGTGAAACCTGACTTTGCCACTTCCAGGTTGTGGGACCACTGGCAAGCGACTCAGCTTTGAGCTTTGTTTCAGCATCTGTAAAATGGAGCTGTCTGTTCCTACCTTAAAGCATTATGTGAGGGTTAAGAAACAAGGCCTTTGCAGAGTACCTTGTGTTGCAATTGATATAACATATGCACAATAAGTAGTTCTAAATATTTTAGAAAACTATTTTAGAATTGTAAAGACTTAGAAATCACAGAGCTCAAAGTATGCCCTCTTCTTTTTTGTCAAAGAAGAAACTGAGGCCCAGAGAAGTGAAATCAGTTTCCCAAGGGATCTCTGAGGTGCCCTGTTGGAAGGCACATTTGCCATGACTGCTCACCACAAAGGGTATTTTCATCATCCTGTACCCGGCATCACATCGACGTTGCCCATTGTCCTGCTGCTCCAGGGCTCCTCTTGACACCCTGTTCAGTCCCTGATGAGAGACAGATGCTCAGCCCTGAGCACCATGCACGGAGATGGTGTTCTTTTTCTGTACTGATATCATCAGTCACATCATGTGGTACTACTTTAATTGCTGTCCTATTTTTGGAAAAATAGATGGCTAAACATAAGCAATTTTTTTCTTAGCGTTTTTTTGGTTACTGAAGCAAAGTACTCAGTAAATAAGAACTGATTTGCATGACATTTTGCATGAATAGCGATGTTGAATGAACAAGGTAACAGACTTTGAAC